CGCTCAAACGCGATGAGTCGCGCAAACGTACTACCCCGCGTGCTCAGTACGACCCAAACCCGCCCCAGCTCCCGAGAACCCTGTAGCGGTGTCGCGAGGCACGGCCGCCCCCTGCGCGTGCGAGCCAGCTGGCCCCGATGCCGGGTGGGCCGGCCGCGTTTGCACGGTTCATTACGTGTGACGAGCACACAGCGCACTGCCTTGTAACCGGGAGCGTATCGAACGGCCGCGTCGATGGTGTTTACTCGTCCAGCGCCGTCCATCGCCCGCCCGCGAGCGGACATGGTCAGCACCGCCCACCGCCCTGTCCGTCAACGGACGTGGTCAGCGCCGCCCACCGCCCTGCCCGCGAGCGGACGTGGTCAGCACCGCCCACCGCCCTGCCCGCAAGCGGACGTGGTCAGCGCCGCCCACCGCCCTGCCCGCGAGCGGACGTGGTCAGCACCGCCCACCGCCCTGCCCGCAAGCGGACGTGGTCAGCGCCGCCCACCGCCCTGTCCGTCAACGGACGTGGTCAGCGCCGCCCACCGCCCTGCCCGCGGGCGGACGTGGTCAGCGCCGCCCACCGCCCTGCCCGAGCGGACGTGGTCAGCACCGCCCACCGCCCTGCCCGCGAGCGGACGTGGTCAGCGCTGCCCCCGCCCTGTCCGTCAACGGACGTGGTCAGCGCCGCCCACCGCCCTGTCCGTCAACGGACGTGGTCAGCGCCGCCCACCGCCCTGTCCACGGGCGGACGTAGTCAGCGCCGCCCACCACCCTGTCCGTCAACGGACGTGGTCAGCGCTGCCCACCGCCCTGTCCGCAGGCGGACGTGGTCAGCGCCGCCCATCGCCCTGCCCGCGGGCGGACGTGGTCAGCGCCGCCCACCGCCCTGCCCGCAAATGGACATGGTCAGTATGGCCCGTCACACTGCCCGCAAACGAGCGTGGTCAGCACCGTCCACCCCGGCCGACGAACGGACGTGAGGGTTTGCAGGCGCGAACAAGGTTGGTGTGAGAAGCCCGAGCGCCGATTATGCGCTGTCGTCGGCTGTGTTGATGACGCACAAACACGCAAACGCACGCACAAAAGCGTACTCATGCACAAGAACACCAAGTGGTTGTCAGGCAAGCCATTTCATAACGCAGACTGGAAGCTCGCCTATTTCGTGCCAGCAAGCATGGTAATAAAGCGCTGTGCCTGTTGTATAGTACGCATGCCGGACATATTCACTGCGAAGGTATAGAACATGATATAACAATCTAGGCACTACCGTCCACATAATAAATTTGACATCAATTTGTTTTCGCATTTAAGTACACAAAATTATTGTGCTGATGGTTTTAGTGGAGATCATTTCAGTCATGCACCTGACCAAACAATTCGAAACTTGATGAGGACAAATAACTTCTACTTCACGCTAATATACCAACTCTGACTGCAACCACTCAATGACAGTGGTGGAAATGAGCAGCATAAAAGGTCTGACGGCGTTCAGCCACAGGGACACCGCAAATAGCATGACAGCATGACAAGTACTCGCCCATGCTTAGCCTACCCAACGTTAATAGGTCTATATCTGGCAGTGTAAATCACTATTGCCGTTTCGTGTTCTACATTAGGACTTATCGTGAAAGCCCATTGCGTTTAGCGCAGATCTCGCAAGCTTTGTTACTTTCGGGCAGTTAGTTTAAGCTGCTAAGCCCATGACGCCATTCCACGTGACTTGTTGCAAACAGCAAGGTGTTTTCGTTTTGCACGATACATCAAGCGCCCCTCCACATGCAGCCTGTTGCAAGCGGTAAGACCTGCAAGCTGTGTTGTAGGTCATGCACCGTACGCTACTACCGAATGACCCACAAGCCCCGCATTGCCATGACCGCACCGAAACTCCTCGTGAAGCAGTGTTCCTTCGAGCGGGTCGTAAGCCTAGCGCCCCCTCTCCCCCTCCCCCGCCTTACGGTACGTGGCGAGGCGGTGAGCGTGAGGTCAGGCCGATACGAGCGAAGGATGAGCCCAAGGGTGAGCCCCTGGTGGCGACGGTGTCTACCAACCACCCCGCCCACGGTGTCTACCGACCACGACCACCCCGCCCACGCCCAGTCACCCCAGGGGAGGGCGACACCGCACAACAGGCCCAAATGGTCCGTCGGGAACGGCTGACGTCATAATAACACAGCCCCAGGGTCTGCCGGGAGGAGTGACGCCACCATAACACGGCCCGAGGGTCTGCCGGGAGGAGTGACGCCACCATAGCAAGGCCCGAGGGTCTGCCGGGAGGAGTGACGCCACCACAGCAAGGCCCGAGGGTTTGCCTGCGAAGGGTGACGACACTTTGACACGGCCCGAGGGTCTGCAGGAACACCTCTATAACAGGACCTGCGACGAGGCCCATGCTGACCCAGCGGGCCCGCGGGGGCGCGGGTGCATGCCTGCCTGCAACCTGACACTCGACACCACGTTCTGGCCCATTCATTAGATCGCCACAATCTGCCCGGAGGTCGACAAGAAAGCCAAATATGCCAAACGAATAGGATGTTTTCACTTATCGCTTGCACCTGAACTTTCGTATGCCAGTGCATTTCGTAGCTGGTGGAGGTGCATTTCAGAGGGTTTGAAATGCATGGGCGATCAGTGTTGTGTTTACAACAGAATGATTATGATTAGCATAAAACGAGCGCACGTTTCGGGTGAGGCAGCCTGCTTTCGGACCGCCTTGAGTAAAGCTCCGTTGCTGGACTGTCTGGACTGACTGAGTTACTGAGTCGGGCTGGTGGAGAGCTGGACGCAGTTACGTTAGCCGGGTATCGGTAGCGCAGAAGTTAAGCTACGTGTCTAGGACGCCAGAGCACGGGGCTCAATGCATTGCGGCGCCCGCAAGTCCTGTCCGAGGCGAGCGGCAGGTGAGACCACATGGCCTCAAAAGCTGAGTACGTCGTAAAGCCACAACGACGGTCGCGATCTTCGTTCGGATCTCAAGAGGTCCAGGCCACGACTTTTTGAAATTTGATCCGAAACCCTTGAATGGATAAATTTCTGGGATCAGCGCTCACGCTAAACAGTGCTTGTTTTGTGAGCCCCCACCATCCGATCGCGCAATTCCAGGCAACGGCAGAATTTAGTAGCGAAAGCTTAACGTGCCGCAATGCTCGGCACGATTCGACCTGCCCTCTGACGTCAACTGACTTTCAGCGCGACCGCTGCCACCGGCCGCAGGCCATACCCGTCAAGAGTAAATGGCGAGCGCACAGAGCGACTAGAACCCACACCGCCAACGTGCTGTACGGCTAGACCCTGAACAGTTCATATGCTTATAAATTCTGTTTACACGTACGGGTAAGGATGGCGTCTTCAAAGGTCATCCAATGTCGCCAAGTTTTATGGTTCCAGTTACGCATGTTTTGTATTTGATGATCCGCGATATTGCCTTGTGCCACGCAGTTCGGAAGTTATGTTTGCCAGCCTTGGTACTGTTCCTTGCAAATATTTGCTGCGTCGTAATTCAGTTGATATTGATGGTTAGGATGGAAGGCCTGCCAAGTGAGAAACTTGCCAATACTCGAAGAGTCAAAAAAGTTTCTACGTCACCAACTGAACATATGGTTAAAAGAAAAGTACGACCTACTCACAGTAATCCATCGAAATAATCAAAAAGGCATTCGTTAAAAAGTTATCGGTGGTTGTTAGCTGAAATCAGTGACTTGTTACCAACTGACGGCGAGCTTAGGCGCGTGTTTAATAAACCACAGTAACACTCTTGGCTCGCACAGCCACCGCGTGCGTTGGATAGTACAAGATTGCCATTCACTGAGTTAATGTCCATGGAATGGTAGTTCAGCGCGTCTATTTTGTTCAGCGGACTGCCTCAATCAAAATATAACCAATTACGAGATCATTAAAGGATCCCCCTTCACATTCAACCAATTACGTAATCGACGCGATAAGCATTTCTCAGGTTCGTCCTGTTAGGCGGCCTCGGAGCGCTGGAAAGAAAACCAAACTGGAGAGAATCGTAGCATTTCAGAGACGGCGATCGATTTGACCTCTGTGTGTCCGCGCCGAGCCCTGGCGGCTCCACATCAGGCCGATGGTGCCGCCCGCTCCCTGGTGTCGTGTTTCCGGTTCCCTGTCCGCACATTAGCTGTCCGCAGAGCGGCAATACCAGCGCGCCTTTATCGTCGCGGCGATGACGTCACGCGCCAGGTGGCCAACGCGGTGTGAAAAGGACCATCAGGGCGTCGCCTTTGCCGGGTCGGCTGAATTGGTGTCTATGGCGGGGGCCGGGGCGGTTCGAGGCAGACAGCCCGGCACAAAGACCGGGCCGCGCTGCTGATGGTGGTCCTTGACATGCGAGCGGGGCAGCGGGCCCGTCCCCACGCACGCCGGGAAGGCAGCGACGGCGCGGCGCCGGCGGCACTGAGGCCACCAACCACTCCGTGGCGCTGGCACGGGCGCCAAAAGGAGCGTAAGCTCAGGGGGCAGCAGAACTACAGGCAGCCAACATCAGAGCATGCAGTCGCGGCGTGCCGTGGCGGGGAGGGAGGATGGAGGGATGTTGGAGTCCAAATAAGCCGGATTCGACCCGATGAACGCCGGCAGCGATCGTCAGCTGTTGCCGACGGCCGACCTGCTCGGCGTCTCGTTCGCAGGCGGCCCGGCCAGTCCGCACGCAGCCGGGTGGTCAATCCAATCAGTACACGGTCATCAGCGTGCGTCGAAAAAGTGATTAGTCGGCATTAGACGGCACCACCTTGACCAGAGCCGGCGGGCCGGCCATCGGCTGGTCAAATATGCATGCGGCGGGAGGAATCGACCGCTGGTGTGCCCGCCGAGGGCCCGACCGGCCTCGAGGACCACGCTCGGCCCTCCACGCCGGCAGCGATGGTGACCTGCGAGATGTGACGGACAGCCGAGAACTGCTCGTCCAGCCAGCGACAGGGTGGAAAGTTCGTCCTCGCAGGACTCGACAGACAGGACTCCGTTCAGACCCGTCTGTTCATCTGATGCCATCTGACAGACTGTCAGATAGACTCTGACAGACCTGCCAGACAGCATCAGCTGAACTGACAGTCACCTGCCGTCTACCGGTCTCCACCAAACACGTATCAGCTCCACCAGCATCTACCGTTTTACATCCGCTGTCTGCCATGTCCACGCTTCCCCTTTCCTCCATGCTCTTCTCGTTAACACCTAGGTTCTCTCCACTAACCTAACTGATCCATGTCGTTGCCTTCAACAAATACCACCCATCAGTCATGTATGTGAAGCCCAATCTGTGTCTAGGTTCTTCATGCCAATGTACCGAGCCGTTCAATACCGGCGGTTCCGATATTTACTGGCCACTTGCTCTTCGTCAGTCAGCGTTACCAATCTGAACAATCCACCACTGGCCTCTCATAACCCTAGCTGCTTCCATGCACCGATATCCATTCAATACCCATACTCAGCTCCATATCCATACCCATCATATCCACCAGCCTCCAGAAGCCCCCAAATCCTCAACCAAACCAGCCAACCAGCCTGCACCACCTGCACCAGCCTCCACCAGCCTCCACCAAGCTTTACCGTGCTCAACCGTTCTCCTACCTGACACGAATCGGTAGGCCGTGATCCACTCGGTGATAAACCCAATCACGTGTCGTTGCCCAGCCGTCATCGGCTCTGTATCGTTACAGTCTTCCTCGGCCAGCGGCGGCGGCAGCGGCGGCGGCGGCGACGCGGCCGGCCGCGCTGGCCTGGAGCTGGTGTCCCCCTGCACGCCGTCGTAGTGGGGGGCGCCGCGGCCGCGCCCGGCTGCGGAACACCCACAGTGACACCCTCGTGACACCCTCGTGACACCCCCGTGCACGCGTGCCAACACCCGCGCGACACCTCGCTGGCCCGGAGCAACAACTATCGACGTCGGGAAGCCCCAGGGTCACCCACGGATTCTGTCGGACAGCTGACTGCTGGCCGGTGATTGGGTGGGTTGGCGGGTTACATGTGGTGAAAGCGCGAGGTGGGAAAACAGGGGTTAGTAAAGGAGCTCATAGTGGTGACGGGAAGACGGTGGTTACGGTGATGGTGACCTGGTGGTCAGGACGTGACGTTTGCTGCATCCCTCGTTGCTGAGGGCGCCGGGGTAAAAACAGAACAGGAAGATCAGTTGCCGCGCCTTTTTAGTGGACGGGACAGAGATGGGGTGAACCGGAAAACGGAGCGGACGTGAAATGGCGGGACGGCACAGATGGCGCCACAAGCTGGGGAGAGTTTGGCACCGAGTGCGAGCGGGACAGGGCATGTCAAGATAGGCAGATATAATGAGGGTCAGCTTTTGGATGTCTGGCGTGCTTCAGGACCAGCACGGACAACAGTGTCCGGGCCGCATAGCGCAGGAGAGGAGACGTGGCTTCAGCCAATGCGGCGCAGGACAGGACTCACGGTTCTGGTCGAAGCAAGGGAAGGAGAGACCCATGAGCGGAACGTGAGGACTGAAGGCGGCATTGCTAACAGAGCGGCACGAGGGGTTAATGTACAGAAGAAACGAAGAGAGACATAGCGCACTGCCCGACAAGCATAAACTAAAAACAGCAGCATGAAGATGTCGACAAGAGCAATGCCATTCTGAGGTCTACGGCATACCACACGGCAGCTCTGATACACTTGAACTAGTGTAAAAATATAAACAGCACAACACAATTTGCCAGTTGCTTTCAGATGCTTTCTATGGCCCAGTTCATTCCACACTTTTAGCATACCATAAAAAACACATCAAGATGCACGGGTGTGTGAACAGTAGGGAGGTTTAGCTGCAAAGCAATAGGCATGTGATACGTTTTGCCAATCATTTTCTATGTTTCGGTGGACACTCAAGCATCGCACAAGTTCTTCGCACAAGTGTTTGTCGAGATCTTATATAGCAATTCATGGATGACTACGTCTACAGAACATTGTCTGCGGGGCACAAAACTATGCTGGGATATTGCGTAGCACGCTGCGCAATAGCCATATAGCCAGGTCCGACGGAAAAATAAAGCCTCACCAAGTTGTTATGCGAATAAGGCGACTGGCTATAATTTGAGAGCAATAACTTAGGTGGGAAGTGAAATTCAAGATACTTTCCACCTGATAATAAATGCTGTGGAATGTAAGACTTCCCGTGCGGATTCCATTTCATTATCACAATTTTTGGCAAGTTGATCTCAAATGTTCTTTACCACTGCAAAAATTTACCTATACTAACTACAAGGAAATTCGCAACGATAGGGGTGTTGCAGAACAAAAGCGGCCATTAACTCGGCGACGGCATGCATTCAGGAAGACCTTGACCCCTGTCATCCTCCGCGGATCGACCAGCGGTTCATTATTAAACGCACTGTGGCAAACCTCCATGGCGCCTGTGACGACGTCATGTCATGTCGGAGAGCCTCTACCCGGGACAAGCAGAGAAACGTCAAACATGGATGCATCTACGACGGCCGGCCCACCTCTCCCTGCTAGCTACAACAGCCTGCCCGACACGCCACTAGCTGGCATCGACTGCCAACGTTCGCCGAAGCGACGGCTCGAGCGGCGCTGCTCAAGTCGGTTGCCATGCCAACTACTAACACACCTATCATGCGGCATGGGTGTGCCTTGTGAATGTGCGTCGCTTACTGTGTGGCCGCGTATGACGGTGTGCCGGAATGCCAGAATAAAGTCTGACTGTCGGCTGAGTGATGAATTGTGGCGTGCGTGGGTCCATCAGTCCGGTGAGAGCTGAGCTCAATGCGTCGCGCGCTGTCGTAACGGCGGGTCCGCGGTGGCCGGCGTGGAGGTGCCCCAAATCCAACTAATGGTCCTCCTCTGACTAGTACCAGTCAGCCTTTCCAGCAGGGCGTATGCAACGTTTCGCAATGGGAGAAGGCATAGCTCAAATTGCTTATTGAAAAAAACCTATTGAAGTGCACCGCAGGCGAAGGACATTTCTTCCAAAAGCAGGTGTTCAATAGCACCGCACGTTTTCAATACTTGCATTCGTATGCATTTAACTCAATTCTTGAACTAAAGACCTCTGTTTACGCGCATATATATTAGACATGGATGATGGGAGAACGTGTCCCCGGTTCCCCTGCCACTTCAATTCGCCGCTCTCTTCCGGTGACTCCCCAGGGCGGCCGTGTGTCCAGTGACTGCGAACTAATCGGCCCGCAAGACGACACCGGAGCAAATGGACTCAGTCGCGGTGCATTTGTAATCGGCTAAAACCCAGGCCAGGTGCGGTTTCATCGACGGAAATAGAGTCGCTTACGACCACGCACCATCGTCCTTGGTCGCTGTCGTTCGCCGGGGAGCCCATTTCGCGAACTTCGGACAGCCATATCAATCCATCCACCCGGGGAAAACATGTTCGTTGGTAAGCAGCGGGTAATGTGTTATCGTATCGGCAAATGCAATCAAGGCTGGAATTTGTTTTTAATGGCATTACCATTACCTATAACCGTCTTTATCATTCCAGTTTTGATAGATTTCCGAAAACAATTTAGGGTGCTATTACTTCCCAACTGCAGGTTCTCCACAGGTGGCGCGAGCGTTCAGGTGGGGTTCAGACTTCTATGGTCAGCTGGTCGACTTCGAGGTCTTTGATCAAGGGATTTGGCGAGGGTGCTCCTTCAAGAGCTTTATCTTAATCTCAATTCAGCTTAGTTCTTTCTGAAACTGGTGCTTCACAAAAGAGGTCCCTAAAAGGGTAAACAAACAAACACTTCCATTGTTAAGATAGGATGGGGAGGGGAAGATCTTTAAACAGCCAAGCGCAGCGTAATCGTTTCGCTGCACAGCGGTCCTCTGTCTGTGGTTCCAGGTTTTTAAAGGTATATATTGTTCAAAAACTTGGGCATTTCATCTGGCTTCATTTTTCGTTGGTGAGACCGTTTACCACGTGACAATTTCATCTTCTAGCAAACTTTTATGCTGATGGCAAGTTCGAGTGATAATGCACCAGGCCAACTGCGAGTAGACCCTTGATCTTTACTTTCCTGGAGGCCTGAACGTCTTCGAGCAGATACTAGCGCCATCTATTTTACTTTTAGTACTTACTTTTGCCGCTGCGTGGCGTGCTTGGTGCGTCCTTCCCAGATGGTAAGTGACGGTCGGCCGGAGGAACTTCCGTAGCGTTCTGTCGCGCCTCCTCATCCTCTTGGTCGTACTGTTCTCGAAGAATTTTCTTTGGAACTGCAAGCACAATGAGAATCCTCAGCTTTGTCCCGTACTAAGCACAGTGGGCGTGACTGTCATTCACATCTTTGACCTTGAGTGCGAACAGAGAAAATCCATGCAATGGTCTAAAAGTGAAAGTTAAAAATCGAGGCAACGATTTGGATTTGATGATATGCTACCGGGATTGAAAAGATATCAAGCACTATGGTAAAGCATAGCATAAATATCGTATGCATCTTTGTTTGTCATATCTAGCCGCATTTTAGAGTATTTTACACATTACTAGTCACGTTAAACCTGGTAAGAGCCTGACGAAACCTCCAATAAGCGCGAATTAGAAACTACTACGCTCGCAGCACGGTGGCCTTCCCCTGCATCCCGCCATTTCAGTAAACCCACAGCGTGCTAAATAAAAACTCAGTATGAGGCACAGCTTTAACGCGCCTCATATATCTCCGGTAATCTAATCCCACGCAATCCGCGGCTAAACTACGCCCACACGTCATTCGGACAGCTCACGACAGGGAAGAGGGACAGTAACCCGGCCAAGCTGGGGCGAGATCTGCGTCAGTTCCTGCCCTGCCTTGTTCGCGCAGCTGCTCACCGCAGGTGTAGGTGACCTTGAGGTACGTGTTGTGGTCGGCCGGGCAGGGTCGGTTGAAGAAGGCTGGGTCTGCGTTCAGCTCGCAGCTCTCCCTGCCCTGGCACTGGTTGATCATCTTCTCCGAGGTGAAGCTCGCCTGGCAGTCTGGTGACGCAGAGCTTCAGTCAGCGCACAGACGGAGACGGTGTCAGGCAAGCGACAGAAGTAACCCAAGCTTCCCAGACGTACCATTAGCGCGTCTGGGAAGCCAGAGGTTCGGGGTTCGATTCCTGGCGGTGCCCACCCTCCCTGCAAAGGTGATAAGCAAGCCCTGGCTCAACAGCTCGGTGCGGCGTTCGCGCAGTCAAGCGTCATTTGGCCTTGACTGTCGCGGCTGCTCACGCCATTTTAAGTTTATTCACGAAGAGCAGGGAAATCCGAGCGAAAACTGGGACCGAGGTCATGACTGCATGCTTGATTATACGTTGGTGGTGGTGCCATGTTCGTTCATGGTGTCACTCCCATCACTTAGGCCTTAGTCATGCACCTTCATTGCTATCCATGCACACTTGAAAGACGCCGTCAACTTCTGGCCGCTTTGGAAGTGGGCAAGAAAGGCCTGCTCGTCGATCCACGGCTAGAGTGTGCCACCGTTATCCACGACACGCTGGGGGCAATCTCCCAGGTCAAGGTCAAGAGAGCAGCTCGGCGCGACGTAGATGCCGGAGGCACTCGCTGGACGAGCCTGTTTCGCAGGGCTGGAGAGGGGACCGAACATCGGCCATCGGCCTGGGTGCCAGGGATGTGAGCCTTTCGTCTTCTCCCCAAACATAAGAAAATCGGTAACAGGCTTCTAAACGGGCGAAAAAGATTGGAAACACTTTTGAAATGTCCGGCGCGCCACAAAGTTGCGACCGTTCTTGGATGATGCAATAATATATATATATATATATATATATATATATATATATATATATATATATATATATATATGAAACTAATGAAACTGGCATTTCATTAGCGGGCTGACACATGTGTCGGCTTGCGGCGCTGCCACAGTCCCTCGAAAGCCACTTCCACGCTGCCGTCCGAGGCCTGCAGCAGGAGCGGGCGGGAGGCTACCATGCGGCTTCAGCCTGTTACGCAACACACATGCTTCGGAGAGCTGAAGCTGGACCGACGGCCGGCGCTCGTGGCTGCTGCGAGGGCGTTCCAGATCGTCCTTGGCCCACCGTGACGCCGTGACGCCGCGGAGACGTTCCATCGTCCGCACGCAGCGGACGTCGCGTCACAGCGGGTCGTCTGACACGTAACGACGGCACTCACTTGTGATCTTGACGCCCGGGGCCTGCAGGCACTGTATGCTGCCGTGCTCGGTGACGCCGAAGCTGGCCGAGTAGATGGCGATCCTGCTCCGGTCGCAGCTGATCTTCCGCCTCTCGCCCTGGCACACCACCTCACTCCGGAACAGGCCTGCGGCGGCGGCACAGCGCGATGGACACAGCGCGATGGGCACAGCGCGATGACAGCGCAAAGGGAACAGCGCAATGACACAGCGCAATGGACACAGCGCAACGGGCACAGTGCAATGGGAACAAGCGCAATGGAAACAGCGCAAAGACGCAGCGCGATGGGCACAGCGCAATGGGAACAGCGCAATGGCCACAGCGCAACGCAATGGGCACAGCGCAATGGGCACAGCGCAATGGGCACAGCGCGGTCGGGACGTCAGTCTCACTGCGCACCGCAAGTCGACTGGGGAAGCTCATACCATGACGAAGCGTGCAAATGATGATCCCACACCGGCCTGGGCCCGCACAGCCCTAGGCGATTTAGTCGCTTATCCAGCTGTAGTGAGTGCGGTCATGACCCACTGCTCACCCCGCTCATATCGCCCGAGATCCGTGTGGGTGGCGGGAGAAACCGGGTCGGCGGCTATTGGGTGTAATATAAAACCTCTGTAACATTTCAGTGACTGAAATAGCATCTTCAGTGACAATGATATGATATGACGTCTCCAGCGATGCCCAGAGTGACCGCCTAACAGCAGATATCCCAGAATGCAGCATGACGACAGGGAATTCTGAATTCTGCTTCAGGTGAGCGGAATATCTATGGGTCTCGGGGCGATACACTGTTCTGCACCGAACCACCGTACAACAGTCAACGCGCTCGCCTCGTCGCTGGACACACGTCAGCCGGCAGAGACCGTACGTCGCCCGCGACAGATGCCAGCAGCAATCAGGACCGGAAGCGCGATCGTTCGCAGGCCGGGCCCCCGCGCCGCGTGACATCGCCGGTGGGGGGGGGGGGGGGGGGCACCCAACACGTCGGCGCGACCCCGGCACAGCCCCAATTACACCCGCGATCTGGCCAATTACCGATCAGGAGCAGCGCTTGCGCCCTGATCGCGGGCCAATAGGATCACGCCGCTCGGCGACAGCGGATTTGCAGGCTATCGCACCAGGCGCCGTCGCTGTGCGGCGAAATGCCGTTCGATCCGCCAGGCCGTCTGCACGGGCAGCTCGCACGACGCGCCGGCGTGGAGCCGCTTCCGGGCGACTCAGAGGCCGTGGCAGAGGTCAGTGGGACCAATGGAGTGAATGTATCACGGCAGGCGGTCTAGCAGGGAGCGGAGCCGGCACATCCAGCCGGCCTTCGGGTGGCTCCAATCAGCACTGAGATCTGACCGCAGTCTGAAAGTCTGATCATCGCAGCGCATCGGAAACGGACGGTGAACTCGCAAGCCCGCAAGAGTCTATTGCGGTCTACAGCCCCAGCCCTCCCCTTGAGCCGACAGAAGTGGTTCTGAAGCGACGCTCGGCACCAGCACGCTGCCCATGACCTTCGCCCTGCGATCACTTCACGGATCGCTTACTCGGCTGGCACTTGTAGAGCACTTCGACGAACTTCCTGATGCCCGGGCAGGGGTCGACGCCGAACGCTTTGGGCGACGTCTGCAAACGACAGCTCTGCTTGCCTCCGCACTCGGCAATCACCACCTGCCGGACGAACGCTGCGTCAAAGCGGACGGGCGCGTATCGTACGCAAGGCAACCATTACGTCATCAAAGAGCGCAACACTGTCTTCGTACCGACGCTTCGAACTCTGTTTCTGTTGAACTGTTTCGAGATGCCTTACGGACGCAGACGTGCACTTGGCCACGCCGGATGCATGGCACCAAGAGATTTTGCGTTCATAAGTAAAGGCGGTGCGTCTTCTTATTGCATAATGCGATCATACGGCAAGGGGTGGGGAAGACGGCCACGTTCATGTATCTAACGGCCGTAGGGAATGCAGGACGACAGGAGGACTGTTTCAAAACGCATCTGACCGTCACAAGACGGATCAGGGTCGTCCTAGATACATCTGGCCGATAAGGGGTCCTGGAGAGGCGGGGCAATGAGTCTGTTGGGTGTGCTTAGCTGGCCACGATACATGTTATGGTACACTATGCGTACCAACTCGGTCAAAGGGAAAACAATAGGGGTTGCTGGGTGCACCTTGCCGGCCTCGGGCACGGAGGAGGTGCAATCTTTGGATCGGGGCGAAATAGTTGCAGTCGTTTGGTCAGGACGTGGTTCGCTAGCTGGAGCAGAAGCCAATGGTTATCATCTAGCTCATCTGGTATGGTCAGCAGGCATCAGTTGTGTAACCGTTGGAAACCTGAGCATGCTGGAAGATCCATAACCGCCCGAGGCGGCATCAACTCCGATCAAGTAGCAAGTTTATCAGCTAAAAACGGACTGCAGCCTCCGCAAAGACCAAGGTCTCACAAAAAATGTGCTGCAGCTGCATCAGAGTCCCACATAAAACTGGTCTGCAGGTACGTGGGAATGGGACACACGCAATAGACCTCACGTCCACGCTATGCATACACGTGACCAACTAAACGAGCACTGTGTAAATGCTCCGCCACCGTACATACACACCTCCCGACAGGTTTATGAACGAGGACCATTTGAGACACCCCAAGCGCGTGACATCGGCTGGGTTTATCGCGGCTGAAGACTAGGTGAGATTAACAGGATCGACCTCTTAAATCCAGACACGATTCAGAAGCCGTAATTGCAGCTTCATCAAGTTGATTAAAACTGCCCATTGACCCCCATTGCAGGGCCCAATGAAGCGATAAATAACGCCTGGTCAGAGTCTGACTTGGCTGTGAGGATGGGCGCTTCCTGGGTATCACCACCCAAGCCCTCCTGGGGGGCCTGGCCTCTATAAAAAGAAAGGGGCGGTCGCAGGTTGAACATGTGACCAAGCACAAACCTATCCTTTGTGTGTGTCGCTGCCATTAGTTTCGATCATTTTACTCTATCGGCTTTAAGTTATCAAACACTCTTTCCGCCACAAATTCAGAGTGAATTAGTTGCGCAGCACAGGCCCTGATCAAGGATGCCAGCCAGTTCCCTGAAAGGAATGGTCGCGAGTTTACTTGACAGGCCATCTATAACATACGACCCATTTCAGTTTGTAAATCACACCCCGGAAAATGACGCAACGGAAACAAGAATTCATTTAAAACCCATTTAGGCGCTATAGTTTGTTCGTTTTCGACGACTATTGCGAGAGCGCCTACACATGTTTTTAATAAGACATTTGTGCGTCCAAATGTCCAAATGGACGCAAATCACTTTGATTTCAGCTGACATCACGTCTCACGGGATTCCAAGTCTCATTAACTCTACATTAGCAAGAAGCGAGGGACACATTTGGCTCCGCAATTTCAGCGGGCGTGCTTGCAGCGCCATACGTTAAGATCAAGACCCCGCCCAACTGCAGCACAGCGCCACAGGGCTGTTAAAGTGCGGCGCGTAACTCCGACAGACAACGGCGATCCATCAGCGTAAACTTGCGCGGCCTGGAGCGCATTCAGCTGGAAGACCGGAGTCCTTGCAGCTCCAGCACTCGGACGGACGTGCTCGGCTGCCTTTTGATGTGGCAATGTCGTTTGTATTACAACGAACGCCTCCGAACAACGCCGAATGCCCTGCATCGTGCAGGCAAATGAGAGAAAAACGACGAGCGGGGCATCACATAGATTCGAGCAAGGTAAGAAACCCGATGGACGCGTGTAACACCCACGTCAAATGTACAATACCAAGCTTACCACGCCCTGAAAATCAATCATGAATAACTGCATTACTGATATTTTGCATCGGCCGCTTTAAACTTACACTTTTTCTGAAGCAGAGCCTATTGGGTGAACGCTGAAATTAGCCCAAGTGAAACCTCTCCACTTCGTGAGTTGACTTTGATTCCCGCTTTTTTCGTCGACAGAACTGCGAGGACCATCTTTGGTGCCGCATAATGTTACACCACGACCGCCCCACACCAGATCCACCTTGTTTGATTCATTCCCAGCTGACCTTTCCATGCCGGTTGAATCACGCGAGGAGCACGTTCTCGGATTCATAGCCAGCACTGCTTGATTGTTAGTCCGGTGTATTTGTGTTAAATCTCGGTGCAGAGCATTAGTGAGTTTAGAACCTTGTTCCACGTCAGTTGAAGGGAAGTCTTTCTGTTCTTAACACGCGCCCGGGTGACCCCTTGAATACCATGCGCTCGGGTGGGCGGGGGTCGATTCGACCCCCTGCGATCTCGGAAACTAAGACAGGGACACAAAATTCACAGGGTGCGTTGGGCTGTACATAAACTTAGTTTTGTCACAATTTTGGGTCCATACATCGTGATCTTGGGGTTAAATAAGGTCAACCAAGGTCAAACTCCAGATTGGTGTCTTAAGCGCCTCCAGACCTCTTGTGCAATCGCCGTGAAGCTACATACCTGTCCTAGGCAAAAGGTTAATCAGGTCTGTGACATGTATTGACCTTCATAAGGTCAAGGTGGGCAAATACCTACAACATTGCCCTAGTTTGTCATTCGAATAAGTGTCAGGGATTACGCTAAGCGATATGTTCCTAAAAACAAAGTGTTGACCTGGGTCATTTTTGGTCAGTCACCTACTCTGACCTTTAAAAAGCCAATGGAATGCGTCTGTTGCTGTACCTGTCATCTATAAATTCGAAATGAGCGCCGAAAATTACTGCATAAGACCAGCTATCCAGTAAAACACAGGTTAGTTTTGACCTCGTTATGATTCGAGGTCAACAATATTGGTTTTAATTCTTAATTCAATTGGTTTGTTGGCTGAGAAACTATCCCAGATATGTATAGCTTTGTCTAACTCTCCGTTGTTGCATCATTTGAAACGATTCCCCAGAAATGCCTTTCACTGACGGCCATGGCCTAAATTTGGTTTGCAGTAGGTCAGCGAACTTACAAAATACATTTAATTTTGACATCAAGATATCCGTTATCTAACACTCTACACCTCTGCAAATTTTGGCGCGGCTACGCTGCGCCGTTCGGAGGTCATTTTGTTTTTTTGTTTTTAAAGGTTTGACCCCCTCCCACCCGAGATTGTGTTGGACCATTAGAACAATATGCTTAACGACAGCACAAATAGAAGTGCAGATCTATCAGGAGCCTGTGACCAAAAGACACAATAATGAAAATCTTCAGTCCAGACTTCAAAGGTAAACACGCATCTTGCCATGTATGCCCTTGGCGTCTTGCCATTCGGCATTTGCTACTCCCGCGCAATAACCTTCGGTGACACCTCGTCATTGGCCACTAATGGAAAACAAAAATTTAGTCGGCGATTTGGTTTGACGGCAAACGCCCTGAAAAAGTACAGAGGCACTCAAAACTACACGTCTTCAAAAAAGCCACAACTTCAGAAAACAAGCGTCAGCCCCTACGTCACGCCATCAACAACAGAACGTGATTTTCTCATGCGCATGACACATTGATCCATCGTGTATGATCCATCACCTCAGTTACGAACTGCTGCTATAGACAGTTTCCCGAGTCAGTGGCGGTAATGCGGCACCCTCCTTCCGAGGGCCGGCCACTGATGACGTAGCTGGCTTCTCCAACTCCATCGCCACCAGATTCAGTTCTACACTGACTGTTTCGGCGTCGATAGAAAGCCCTGTCCTGACACTTGCCACTGGATGTTTGGAAGCCACGCGGGGCGCTTTGAAACCTCTTGAACAAGTCTGCTGATCGCTATGTTTATAACCGGCCACTAGGACACAAGTTTATAACTGGCCACTAAGCAAGCAGCACCAAAAGCACATCTGGAACATATGATCTGTAGGTATTCGGCCACGATATAATCTGAACAAACTGCACTGTATGTAGATAACACGCGTAAGGGCCCTTCGTCACCGCCTGGCAAGACATCTAACCTCGAGGCCTCGATGATGTCATCTACCACAGCAGACATGGCGTTTCCACGTGAAGCGACGCTCGCGCCACAGCTCTTGTCCACGCTCTTGATCTCCGCCGCACACGCAGGGACACACGCCTCCAATCTGTTCCCTGCATTATGTTTTGCTCCGGTCTGTTTGGCGGTTTGCGTCTTCGGCTCTCCTCTTATTCCCATGATTAATTTTCCTTGCTAGCGTGCCTCTAGCCTTGCATTCACCTCATCACATTTCCTTTCATCCCCCGAAACGCATACTTATGCTCGTAAAACCAGTCTTTTCGCAGCTGCGCCCTTGCATCTCGATTAATATTATGCGGAAATTAATTCGGTCTGGTGTTTTATGCTCGGTTATAGTGCGTAGCATTTCAAAGCAATAAACAAGCAATCGAGCGCGAGGCTATGATACACCAGATATCACCCGATATCAAGGGTGATATCAGTGATGATACAAGCCCGACAGCCGTGAGTCAGGACCCCACTCAGACACCAGCGCCCAATGTATGCGGTATGTACATCTTCGAAAGTGTCGTTGGCTTGGAGCTAAGGACGTTTTCCCGTTTTCTGGCTCAAAATGTTTTTAGAGACCTAGTTAAGCCATATCTATGTGACATCCCAACGTCACACCAAAATTGTGCAGTGAGATGGGTATTTATAATATTATAGCAAACATTTCAAGACCGTAACTGTCTTGAACCTTCTCTTCAGCACTATGAAGGCTAGGAATTGATTCAGTGCGGGCTACAAAACGCCTGGAGGAGCCTGAAATACTGTCGACTGACGAAATTCATAGAAATATTGTATCAATTTAAATGTGTATAGCACTACCATTCGGCCAGCTCTATTCCGCTCCTTCTTGCACCTTCATTTCAAGTCTCGATGGAGCTTTTGTTTTTATCCTAATATGTTCATTTCAGCGTTGAAGCTTCCTATCCATTTATGAAGAGGAGAGGAAAGCCGGTCACATCAACGGAAAAAACAGGTTTTAAACATGTTGGGAATAGGCTAGGTCATTTACCCTGCTCAGCCCACCACCTCGTGAAACAACATCCTGGTAAGTGATTATTTTCCCAGCATAAAACACATATCGGACTGACGAATATCACGTCCTGTAGACAACCACAGCAGATATATCGTGTTCAATTGCCTATGATTCCGAATCGTGCCGCACGAAATGAAACAATCCACCTTCGGATATCTTACAATATCACTGAACGTAAAGTGGGCAGAGTAGCGTCGGTAACCGTTCGACAATGGCCACAGAGGTGCTGAAGCTTTTTATTAAATGACTGTCCATTAATTCCCAGTACCTTACTATTACGTCTTGCAACAATGCCAGCATAACTATAGGATCTTCATCCAAACAGGGAGCCTAACAGGAACTACAAAAATCCCTTTCCCAACTCAAAATGAGTGCATTGTACACGCAGTTCACCAGCAATGCACCTGCCACAGCCACACACCAAACCGCCTGCACAGCACGCCGTGACACTGCTTGCTCCCACACTTAGGCCACGCGCCGAGTCCTCACCTTGAGCGCATTCCTGTCCATGCAGTCGGTGTTGTTGACCCACTCCATGTCTCGCGGATGGCCGCAGAGGTCGGGCTTGGAGGCCAGCCGGCCGTACTGCACCAGGTTGATGGAGACGGTCGTGTCGGGCGGACACTCGAGCCTCAGCTCGTCGCCGTCGCAGGACGCTACTTGGAATGTGCGGAGCGTTCCTGACAAGAGAGCTAGAATGTAGAAGAGGAGAGAGCCGCGTGTGAGGAGGGGCCCGGCACCAGGAGAGGCAGCGCAGCGTGCGTTAGAGGCGTGGCGGCGGCACGCGGCGTGCGGGGCGCTGCGCTGCACACGTGCACGTGCACGTGCGCCGTGCGACGAGCGTGCATGCGTGCAGCGGTGACGTGCGCTAGAAGCCAGGCTGCGGCCGCGGCGGCTGCGGCGGCGGCGGCGGCGGCGGCGGCGGTGGCAACAGCGCGTGCAACACATGCTACACGTCTTGCACCCATGCAACGTGCTTGCATGTTCAGCTGGGCGTCGGGCTCGTCGGCTGACGCGCGTGAGCGGGCCGTCAGCCGGCGGGGAATCAGCTCGCCTGCCCGTCAGGAGGACAGCGCGCTGCGCCGGCCGCCGGCGTCTGACCAGCCGGCTGGGACACGCGAGCGGGCCTCCCGACGAGACGCCGTCGGCCAGGGCACGGCAGCGAGGCGGACGTGGGAGGATGCCGCGCCGCTCAGTCGGCGGCTCGGGCGCGGGCGATCGCGCTGGCCCGGGACGACATGGCCCCGGCTCAGTGCACAGGTGCGCGTGGGGCGTGACCGGGGTCAGTTGGCTCGTGTGCTGCAGGGGCGCAGCCGCCAGCTGGTGCACGTGTCTCGTAAGGCTGCACGTTCGGCCCCGGCCGTGGGTGGTCTCTGGGCTGGACCGCAGGGCGGGGGAGGGGGCTGGATCGTCCTTTGTAGTAATGCTCGGGTGGGCCAGCTCAGCCGCGCGGCAGGCCGACCATCGCGGAAACGGACCCCGATAGGAAAGACGCCACCCGCGGGCGAGAGCCAGACGGAGAGAGAAGCAAGGTTGTGGCAGAAAGAGGCCGGGGGACTGGGATTCGAAGACGAGGTCATGTTTCTAAATACGCTCACAACTGCGGCACAAGACGTTAGGGTTAACAACAGCATCAAAATCAAAAGCGATGTGTTATACAGCGATCAACAACTGATTTAGTAAAGGGTTAGAAGGGTTGCAAATACGGCCGCACAGAGCGGCGGTGCGCTGGCCGACAGCACAACGATACAAAGGTGCACAGACTACAGCCGCACGACTTTACGACATTTAAAGATTTAAAGATTTAAATAGCAAAATGACATTAGAGCAAACCGAACACACAATCACACGTCAAGAGACGGCAGCACACAGTTCATTTTCAGCGCGTTTTGGCTGAGAGCTTTCGGCTAAAACAAGACAAAATTTGAACAACTTAGCATTTCATTCCAAGCACAATCTACTTTTCATCAGTACCTCTTCGAAACATCCTCAAAGAAATACAGTGAGTTTTCAGGAGTCAGCTAGGCCAGTGTGACTCGGAGCGCGTTACGGTGCACGTGACACTAGTGACCCCCCGTTATAATGCAGTCTGACCCTGCAACGGCGTCTTGTGATGGGGAGCCGTGACCCTCCAATGACGCCCGTTTTGGTGTACTTTGACTCTGCAGCAGCGTCTTGTGATGGGGAATCGTGGCACTCCAGTGACGCCCCGTTACGTTGCAGTGTGACTCTATAGCGGCGTCTCGTGATGGGGAACCGTGGCACTCCAGTGACGCCCCGTTATGTTGCAGTGTGACTCTATAGAGGCGTCTCGTGATGGGGAATCGTGGCACTCCAGTGACGCCCCGTTATGGTGCAGTGTGACTCTATAGCGGCGTCTCGTGATGGGGAATCGTGGCACTCCAGTGACGCCCCGTTATGGTGCAGTGTGACTCTATAGCGGCGTCTCGTGATGGGGAATCGTGGCACTCCAGTGACGCCCCGTTATGGTGCAGTGTGACTCTATAGCGGCGTCTCGTGATGGGGAATCGCAACACTCCAATGATGTCCTATTATGGCACGGCGTGAAGCTCTAGTAACCGTCGCAACTATTCAGTGGATTTAGGTATATACAGAGTCCTTTTTACGATGCAGTGTGCTACGTTGGTGATGCCCAATACTGGTGCGGTGCGATGTTCTCGTGACACCTCGTGGTGGTGCGATGTTACACCGGTCGCGTCTAGAGATGCCGCAAAACTACGCTGGTGACGCCCCGCTACGATCCAGCGGAGTACCGACCGACGCCTAGCAGAGGTGTAGTGTGACACCCCAATAACACGCGTGACGTCGACGCCAGGTGACGGGGGGCGGCGACACAAAAACGGCGGCCCGGAAGCGACGCTTTTTACGGTGACGACACCCGCGACCGGCGCGCACGACACTGCGGCGGCAGCGGGCGATGACGCCCGAGATAGTGCCGGCGCGCCCCCATCACCAGCTGCGGGCCGCGACTGCCGCGCTCGCGCTGCTATCGCGCCGGCCACGTCCACGTGAATCAGCGGCTCGCACGTGTGAGCTGTGATCCACGGCTCGCACGTGTGAGCTGAGATCCACGGCGCTGTGATCACGTCTCGCCCGCTTGTGAGCAGGAGCCCCACACTTTGCTGGAGGGTGCTGATGCCGTTTGATCTGGACGAACAGCTGATTGGGAACAGACGGCGCCTGTCGGTTCAAAGCTTTGCTGGCGCACTTGGATTTTCAGCTCTTATCGAAAGGGCAAGGCCAGTGGTCACACGGCAAGCCAATGGCCATGCGCTTTTCGAAACAGACATACTACTGCTCTCATTCTGAGCCAACAAGGCTCCTGATGTTCTGGTAATAATCCGTCACTTATGTGCAGCGCTGCTTGCCTCCCCCCCCCCTTTCCCGTTGCCCCAGTCCCTTATCAGCGTGACACACTCCAGAGCTATGTCCAGGAAATCCAGAGGAGATCCCGAAAAACCCAGCCGCGTGTGGCGACGCGTCAGCCCCCCCTCTCCTCCCCTCCCCAGGTCATGTCGACCCAATGTCTGATCGCCGGGACCGGACAGGTGGCTGCGGCGGCCCCATTTGGCGGTGACGGCGGTACTTAGCACGACGTGCTGATGTGAATAAACTCGCGGCAACAGGGGCATGGTGAGACGCACAGGATGACATGGGAGACGGGGAGCATGGGTGACACAGGACACGGAGACACGGGACACAGGGAGGGTGGGTGGCAAGGGACACGGGGAGCATGGGTGACACGGACACAGGGAGCATGGGTGGGACGGGACACAGGGAGCGTGGGCGACACAAGACACAGGGAGGTACGGGACACGGGGAGGGTGGGTGACACGGGACACGGGGAGCGTGGGTGGCACAGGACAAGGGGAGCATGGGTGACACAGGACACGGGAGGGTGGGCGGCACGGACAGGGGAGCGTGGGTGACACAGGACACAGGGAGACACAGGACACGGGGAGCATGGACGACACAGGACACAGGAGACACGACACGGGAAGCTTGGATGGCACAGGACACAGGGAGACATGGGACATGGGAAGCATGGGTGGCGTAGGACGCACGGAGCATGGGTGACATGGGACACATGGAACGTGGGTGACACGGGATACAGGGAGCATGGGTGGGACGGGACACAGGAGCGTGGGCGACACAGGACACGGGATGGGCACGGGACACGGGAGGGTGGGTGACACGGGCACGGGAGCGTGGGCACAGGACAAGGGAGCATGGGTGACACAGGACACGGGAGGTGGGTGGCACGGGACACGGGAGCGTGGGTGACACGGACACAGGGAGACACAGGACACGGGGAGCATGGACGACACAGGACACAGGGAGACACGAGACACGAAAAGCGTGGATGGCACAGGACACAGGGAGACATGGGACATGGGAAGCATGGGTGGCGTAGGACGCACGGAGCATGGGTGACATGGGACACATGGAACGTGGGTGACACGGGATACAGGGAGCATGGGTGACCGGGACACAGGGAGCATGGGTGACACGGGACACAAGGAGCGTGATGACACGGGACACAGATCATGGGTGACACGGGACACAGGGAGCATGGGTGACACGGAACACAGGGAGCGTGGGTGACCCACCACACAGGGAGCATGGTGGTGACACGGGACACAGGGAGCATGGGTGACACGGGACACAAGGAGCATGGGTGACACGGTACACAGGGAGCATGGGTGGCACAGGACACAGGGAGCATGGGTGGCACGGGACACAGGGAGCATGGGTGACACGGGACACAAGGAGCATGGGTGACACGGGACACAGGGAGCATGAGTGGCACGGGACATAGGGAGCATGGGTGGCACGGGACACAGGGAGACTGAGTGATATGGGGCGCAAGGATCATGGGTGACACGAGACACAGGGAGCGTGGGTAACACGGAACACAGGGAGCGTGGGTGACCCATCACACAGGGAGCGTGGGTGAATGGAGTATGGGTGACAGGGCACATACGGAGCGCAGCTGATAGGGGACACAGGGAGCGTGGGTGACACGGTTCATAGGTAGCGTGAGTGACACGGGGTGCAGTTTCTCAATATTGTCCCGGGCGAAGTCATCGCGTGCAAAAGTGGCATTGACCGTACCCAAACCCACCCAACATTGCTCCTTCCTTTCAATCGCCCGCAGAGCTGCAGCTGTAGAAAATAACTACGACTGAAACACGGAGTTAGTGATGATGTGCGGTTTATGTAGGCTTATTTTTAGCGCATTACAACTCGCCTATCTGTATCAGCATGGAGTGTGGGCAACCGACCCCCGTGGTCGGTCGCCCGTGGTCGGTTGCCCGTGCCAAGCATGGTCGGTGCGCTGCCCGTCAGCTGATCCCTTCTACCCGGTGGCACGTTTGGTGACGTCACATATCCCGAGGAGGCCACCATCACGCGGTCGCGACCCGTTTAGCTGGAGGCTAGCCTCCCAATCCAGCTGTGCCCCTCCCCTCTTTCCCCTTCAATTCACGCTGATCCCAAATCCTCAATCGACGCTAGCTTGCACAAAGCCTTCAGGGCACGGCGCGTTCCACGAGCGATGACTTGTGCACAAATCCGACTTCACCGTAAGCGTGTGTACTTTTCGAAACGCGTAAAAGTTGTAGTATCGCCTCGTCTAGCAGAATCTGACCTCACGCAG